GTTGAAACCAATAAAATATAACCTTTGACCGGTCATAAGTTTTTTGATCGCTTCCAATCTCTAATTTTTGTTATTATAATTACGATACAGTTTTTAATTTTTTTTTTCTCACAATAATAAACAAACATGAACATGACATAAGCATGTGTATAAATATGAAACATATAACTATATAAAACAGTGTATTGAAACGAAATTGCTCTGCAATATGGAACTACAACATACCTAAAACAGTATACACAGCAAGATAATATTAAATAAAACTATTTATAAACTTCCGTGGCAACGGCACGGGTCAAATGCTAGTGTTAATAAATATATATAATAACTAATATTATAATAATACAATTAATCGAATATAAACTAACTATTCTATACAACTGTCATACTGTGTTACAATCTACTTTGTAACAATAGCAACACTGGTAATAATCACCAGTGGTAATAAATAGTAAACCTCTAAAAAAAATTAAATTAAAACATATGAAAAAATTAAATTAAAATAGATCAAAAAAATAAAATAGACAAAATAAATTAAAAATTAATTTAATAAATTAAAGACATTAAAAAATATTGAAAAAAACAAATAATAAATAAGCTAGTTCAGCTTTATATGAATCCAATTTGGGTTTAAATAAACCCAATTTGGGTTTATTTGAACCCAAGACAGGTTCAAGATGAGTCTTTTTGAACCCAAGACAGGACCCAAGACGGGTTCAAATAGACCCAAGACGGATTCAAATGGACCCAAGTCGGGTTCAAATGGACCCAAGTCAGGTTCAAATGGACCCAAGACGGGTTCAAATAGACCCAAGACGGGTTCAAATGGACCCAAGTCGGGTTCAAATGAACCCAAGTCGGGTCCAAGTCAGGTTAATTTGGACCCGAGATGGGCCCAAGAAGGGTTCAAATGGACCCAAGACGGGTTCATTTGAACCAAGACTGGTTCATTTGAACCAAGACGGGTTCATTTGAACCCAAGACGGGTTCAAATGGACCCAAGATGGGTTCATTTGAACCCAAGACAGGTTCATTTGAACCCAAGACAGGTTCATTTGAACCTAAGACAGGTTCATTTGAACCCAAGACGGGTTCATTTGGACACAAGATGGATCCTTTTAAATATAAGATAGGTTTATTTAAATGTTATTTAAACCCAGATTTAAAACAATTAAAAACCTCATATCCGGGGCAATGCCCGGGCCCTGAGAGCTAATATATCTTAGGTCTAAGAATTAGAAAAAATTAGATCCTCAGACCCGGGCAACGCCCGGGCTCTGAGAGCTAGTCACGATGTTCCGACTGGAAATTTTAGCCCATACGATATAGTAAAAACGATCGTCTGACAGTACAAAGTATGGAGAGAAATAGTAATGCCATATATCAGTCAAGACAATAAATTATAATAAATTCACTATAATAATTTAATTATATATACATTATACACACATATATAGAGTTTCGACACTTGCAACAAAAGTGATCTCGTTCCGAATTTGTCAGGGTGGCACCAAAGTGCTGGCTACCTGACCAGGTATCGATATGTGATGCTGGTCATTAATTTAGGCAGTTTAATTGATCATTAAATGATTTTTATTATACTGGCGTTGCGCATCTGGTCAAATGACCAGCACTCTAATTCTCTCGTTCCCAAAAAATTAACTGATAGATAACTTTTTGAACTACCAAAAGTGAGATCGTGATGTTTACATTAGATGTAAATTATTTTATTTACGACATTTCCTTAATAATTATGGGATGCATTTTATGATATATTTAACGATTACTGTAACGTTAAGAGAAGCTTGGCGTATAAAATCTTGCTACAAAAGATTTTGTATGATTAAGAATATAAATCACTGATTAAAATACGCAATAATAAGGAGTAATGTTCTGCTTCTTGTGATACAGTAATTCATATGGCATTAATTATAATTTTTTCATTCCTGCATTCTCTCACTTAATTTGGAATTCGGATAATTTTTTGCTTGATGGTATGTATGCAGATTTTTAGTATCTATTACTGTATTATCCATCATTTAATTATTATTATTATTATATGCCTTTATTCTCTTAACCGCACGTATGAAGTATTGCTCGTTTTAAACGATTATCACATTTAAATGGTATTGATTATTTCTAAATCTTACCATGTATATTTGATTTCTGAATAAATCTTTACAAATGTTGATATATACTGTAATGATGGCTATTAAATTCTATTATATATATATATATATATTACTATCTATTGTTGCTATTCAAGTTAAGATATGCCTCGCGTAATGTTCCTCGTCAAAATTCACTTATCAATCGTCGAAATATAAGTAATCTCTTATTGCACATCGAAAACATCTAAATATAACCACTTATTAAACTCGTCGAAATTGTTTTTTGGAACTTCGACAAGGAACATTTATCTTACAAGATAATTGTCAACTTTACACTCATTTCACAAGTTAAGTTTAATAATGACATGTCCTTTGCGATTGAGCCATTATTCATTGGTTTCTATTAAGGAACGCATAAAAATTATTTTCTTCCAATCCTTAACGCGAAAAATAAATTATACTGAAAACCATTATAAATTCCAAAAATCGGCCCATATAATTATAAACGTTTACACATTATCTATGTTGTAGTACACCATAATTACTAATAATTGTAGCAAACCCTTCATATTTTTACATTAGTATCCACAATATATGAAGGAAAATTTGTGTTTATTGCGGTTTGCAAAAAATGTGAAATTTGTAGATTTCTGATTCTGATTGCCGATTTTTTCAACATTTTTTTGCAGAAATAAAAGTTGTAGATTCATAATTTTGTAACATATTTTTTGATTTAACATCTTTGTAGGAATATATTTTGCATACTCTTCATGTAATAAAGAACTTGATTGTGTTTTGCTTCTTTTCTAGCCCGGTAAAATTTACTATTGCATGATAAGAAGAAAATTTAAAAGCTGCACTAAATTCAATCTTATAAGGATTATTACATGATATTGCTAAGGAACTTTAGTAAAACTTATATTTCATTACAATAAATTTTAGAAGTTGATAAAAAAGACATTTAATAATAATTTTAGTCATTAGAACTGATTTTTTTTTTAATAAATAAATACATATGAGGTATAATAGTTGATATACATACGTCATCAGAAGTAATGTTAAAAAAATCGGCAATCAAATCATCGATTTCTTTTTTTTTTTGATCTGCAAATTTCACATTTTATTCTTTTAAGCGACCTCTAATGTCGTCAATCGCAAAACTCGTTAGTAGTGCTACAAATCGAAAATCGCAACTAATCGAAAAGTTGACAACTAATCGGTTGAAAAATTTTTGGCAACTCATTAAAATCGAACAAAAATCGAACAAAAATCGAATAATCGAAAAGTTGACAACTAATCCATTGTAAGATTTTGGCAATTTGTAGCACTACTCGTTAGGTTATTAGTGATCTCTTAATATTTGTTTCAAAAGTGGTTTATTGGTTACGAAATTACTTTATAAATGCGAAAAAAATATGTTAAACAATGTATTAATAATGAAACAATATTGTTTGTCTTTATGAAAAAATAATTCTAATTTATCTACTCTTAACTATTTTAATAAAATATATATTATTTTAAAAATCCCTTCTATAAATAACTATTATAATCTGAAATATACATTTATTATCGTGAATTAAGATAAAATTGGATTAAAATGAAATTTGATGTTTCTATTTAAACCTCTAAAACCCACTTCTTTATAAATTCTACCCTAAAACTGATCCCTAAAAGCTAAAAAAAATAAAAATAAACTAAAAATAAAAAACGCACTCCTAAAATTTATATTTTAATAATATACCACATTTATTGTCTTTTAACTAAATGAAAAACCTCAAATTCTTCTGCAGAAAACACATCTGGACTCGATCTAATTGGATATTCATATCTTTGACGTAGACATTGACAACAATCCGCATTAAAACTTCCCCAAGTTTTCAAATCATTCTGTCCCCATTGAGGCCCATAACTTGGATAAATATAAATAGCATTATCGACATGATTCGCTCGAACCCTGCTAAGTATAGGCTTATCGTGATTATCGAAACTAAAAATGAAACTATCTTGTGTAGACTTCCATCCTGATCCATTCCAGCTCAATGGATTATACCCACCAACGATTTCATTTGTTCCTGTTACCTTTAGAACTGTGATTGTTCTTTCATAGTAATCACATTTTTTATGAAATTCTGCTGACGTAAATCCATCTCTAGTTCCTCTCAATACCAATTTAAATTCATATGGAATTGATGCTAACCTGTAGCATTGAGGTTTACGATCTACCCAACTCGCAATCATTGCAACATGTTTAAGGTTAATAATACTTGAATTAACAGGATCAGATCGTGGTGGATGAATTAAATTGAATTTAAGTGCATTTCTAGGTTTAATGTAGTGCCAAAGAACTTCTTCGTATAACTCTTCTGGAAATATTTTTTTCAACGGTCTAACCTTTGCGTAAAAATCTTCAGGTGATATTGCTGATAATCTAATATGAGGTATACATTTATGTAATCTTTCTTTTAATGTTGAAAAATTTTCATCCGACCATTCCATAAAATTATTTCCCAGTGGAGGTGTCTGACCACATCCCCATTGAACAAGAAAATCCCAAAGCATATTTTCTTTCATATTTAAATCATCACGTTGTAGTAAATTTTCCAAAATTGATTCATCACATTGAAGAAAATTACTTGATCGAAATACTATATCAGGATTTGGACATATATGATCTAAACAAAATTCTTGAAGTTTTTTCCAAAGATCATGTTTAAATGCTGTGTGAAGGATTTTATCAAAATTTTCATATAACCATTTATTATGTTGAAGAATGAATTGTTCTTCGACATAAGCAATCATCTCGGGAAGAATTAGTTCGTCTGCAGCACATAAAAGATCAGTTATTTTTGACGGAAGGCAATCATCTATTGAGACCATTCCAGTGTATAGATACCTAAAATATTTTATAAATATATATATGAACAAAAAAGGTTATAAAACGATACATTTTTATAACTTAAAATAACAAACAATTAACAAAGTACAATAAATTTAAAATACTTTAAAATAATATTAAAAACATCGGCTGATATGTTCTGTTTTTCAAACACGATGTTGTCACCTTCTTTTTTAACCCATTCACTCGATAAACCGGCGTTAAAATAAGGGCATTGAGCTTTTAACACAAATGAATGTGCTTTAAAAGTCTTGATATCAGGTCCCTCTCCAATTCGTATTATAACATTATATCCTTCCGGATTTTCTAAACATTTAGCAAAATTTTTTGAGAAATTTAAAAGTAATTCTAAATTCATAATTTTTTAAGAAAAAAAAAAAATTTGAAGAATTTCAAAGTAATTCTAAACACATTTTAATATTGAAAAATTAAACAATACGTTCATTTTTATGTTTAAAGAAACGGAAAATGTTCATTTTTATGATAATGAAAAAAACAATCAATTTTAAGTTATTTATGTTTATGATAGACAAAAAAGCCCCAAATATTGATAAATATTACTCGGTCTCTACCACATACCGATACGTATAATGGTAATGCAGGGATAACAGGTTTTTTTTTTAATTTTTAATAACAATTCAAAAATAAAAGTCACCTGACATTTTTCATACATTGTACATAATTATTAACGATAAGCCTCTTATAATATCCGAGCATTACGTAGCATTCTACTATAACTAAACCATTTTAATGAAGTCAGATCTTTCCACGATTGGTTTCAACAAATTCACGTACTTGATCGAGGCCTTTATCAATCGGAGCTTGTGCCATTCCGGCTATTCAAAAAATGGAGATGAGAATGGTAAAAAGAATCGATAGTAACAAGAATTTTTAATACATATACATTACCTACAGTTTCAAGAGGTGGCTATGAAACAAAAAATAACATGTGAGTATATTGTAACACAGTAATAACAAATTAAATGAAATAAATAAATAAAATGATTGGTCAATTACTCGGTCCGGAGCGGATGGATGGGGACTGGAATAATTAATGATAATTTAAAACGTCAAAAACTTGGTATTCCAATAAAGGAAAAAAAAAAAAAAAGAAACCAGTTACCGAGTAGGAACTGTATGGCGAGTTTTTTCGTATTTCTCTCCTTCTTTCATTAATACATCATCAGCTAAACAAGATTTGAGTTTTGGATAGACATCATTTTCTTCCTCTTGAACATGATGTTCAAATTCCTAATTTCAAAAAAAAAAATTTAGTAATACTTTGAAAAACTTTATATGCACGATAATTCCAACGAACCTCAATAATTCTTTTTATGAGAGTTTCATATCCTTCTTCAGTAACTTTCTTTTGATCAAGCTCATTATATCACATAATATATATGAGTGCCGCCAAGGGAAAACCCTAATCGGGCTTTAAATTATATATTGTACCGGACAAAATCTATTTAATTTCTTAGAGAATATGTCCGGTACAAAATATAATTGAAATCCCGATTAGGGGTTTTCCCTTGGCGGCACTCATATATAATAAAAATATAAAACATGACTTTACCTTAATAATAAAAAAAAAGTTCTATATTTTTATATATTATATAATATAAAAAATATATTATATACTGTATACTATACAATATTAAACTAATATTGAACTTTTATTAGTTAATTATATAAGAGTGATATATTGCAAAAGTGATAAATAAATATATACTTTATTAAATATTATATATTTGCAAAATATTAAAAACAATTATTATTTAATTAAAACAAAGCAAATAGTAGCCAGGTTAAAATTAGAGTTAAAATTTGGTAAAAACAATTGCATGTTGACAAGGGTCAACAGATCGAAAAGACAGGGAGCATGGTCTAGGGACAGATAACACGTGCCTGACCCGGT